GCCATCCAATCTGCGCTGGGGGCCGTTGCGACTGCCCCTCAAGCGCCAACACTGGATTGGAGTTCGAGAAGTGGGAGGAGTCTACTATAACTTGGACTCCAAACTGCGCAGTCCTCATGCTATTGGAACAGCTGATGAACTGAGGTAAGTGTGAAATGCTAAAGGGAAAAGTAGCAGTCGGTTTCAATGCCAAGCTCTGTTTTTTCCCTCTAGCTATCGTTCTGATTGTTTCACAGGAAGTTTTTGCGTCACCAGCTTCGAGGGAAGAACTGTGAACTCCTATTGGTTGTGCCAGAGGAGGTGGAAGTCCACCAGACGTGGAGGTCTGATAACTGATGAATGTTTTGGATAGTTTTTTTTGGTTGTTGTTGTTTTTTGTTTATGTTTTGGAGGTTTCTCAAATTCATGCTCAGGAGGGAAATGTGAGGTTCAATCAGGGACCCATTTAAAGAGCAAATGGAGTTGCGCTCAACTAGTCATGAAAGCACACTGCTCAGACTTGTTTACACACACGCTGGACTCTTGCCATGGAGACTGAAGCAGCAAAGGACACACACAGGGATATCACAAGACAACAAAACACTACGCCGAGAATTTTGTTTGGTATTTGGGATTCTGATGCATTTTTTTATACATTGATTATTTCTTTTACTTTGTACTGTTTTCTGACTTGAAAGTGAGAGGTTATGGAATTATTCGTGATGTGTTCTCCTCGTGCATCAGCTGTCATCCTCGCCACTTTCCATGTGATTTCCCGTGCATCCATGTGATCATCTGAACTGTCCGCCACACATTACAGGTCACCGAAAAGGTATTCGTTTGACCAACTAGATTTTGTTTAACACAGGGGTGCATATGTACTAATTTAGTGCATGTACTTGAAGATTTAGAGAAGGAACACCAGTAGCCCCTGCTTAACCGTTTCCTACATATTTAATGGAATGGTGACAGATGAGATGTTTTCTGTGTATCACAGTACAGCATGGCACCACAGTAATTGGATGTTTTGTGTTAGTTTCCTATAACATATGTTACCAAAACGGTCACTTGTTAATCTCTTACCTTAAACGGTTGCTCTGGACACCCTTTTCTTGTTAGACAGTTAAGGTTAGACTTGTTGAATCCTAGACTACATGTAGGAAAATAAAACAGGTGAGCATTGGTAGTAAAAAAAAAAAAAAAGTTCAGCTGCCAAAAACTGTTAATTGAAACGGTTGTATGTACTTTTAAAATAGCAAATGCTGAAATAAGAGTTAGAAAGGTTGAGGTCTCTGAAATCTTGCAAAGTTTATTCATCTTTGATTGATATTGGATTAACATGGCCTTAAACTGTTTACAGAGGGAGCTGATTTACACAAAGGGAAGTCTAATAATGCATCTCAGGTTATCTTCAGATCCAACTTGATTAAATTTCACTTGTTAAACACCGATCTTCAACATATTATGGAAAACACTTCAAATAGATTATAGACACTCGAATCAGATACTACAACTTAAAAGGAACATTCCACATGTCCATACACAGGGTGCTTTGTAATACTGTAGAGATGAATAGATTCCTTTGCCATGACAATCTAAATCCCCACAATCCATTTTTCAGGGGAACTGGAACATGTGCTCATGCCATTGTTTTCCATTCAAATAAAATGCTTATGATGGCACTTTATGTATGATGTAAAATGTGCTGTGACATCATTAAAATGTCTTTGTATGTATACTGTGTGGTGCTGCTTTTTATCTTCCAGGGGAATAATGGGGGTTTCACCCGGGGATTTCATTATTCAAGATGCTACAGACCACCAAATGTGATGATCCGTGTGAAGGACCCACATTCTAAATTAAAGGCAGATATATATATATATATATATATATATATATAATATTTGTGTGTATACTGTGAAAAAAATATTATGTGTAAAAACATTATTTTGGGAAATATTTAGCTGCTTCTATGTTGTTATTCTTTGTTTAATTATATTATTTATTTTTACAACTTTTTACACCGTTTTTTTTTTTAATTGAGCAATCCCTTGTGTACTCCCTTACCTT